ACCTTGAGAAGTTGCATTCTACACGTTGAGAAGTTATTTCTCTTATACTCAAGGTATTTATACAATCTCAGGTCTTTGTGTTCTTTTGATATTAATATAAAAATTCACCTATATCACAGCCTATGAGTAAAGTTGGAAAATACCTTTATAACTTTTGGTATATATTCCACTATGTTTAGTGAATTTGGTATTAATTTTTAATATAAAAAACTGCCTGAGCCAGGTGTGTTAGCATATGCCTGTTAATCCTAGCTACTCTGAAGGCTGAGGCAGGAGAATGGAATGATCAAGGCCACCCTAAGCAACATAGAAAAACCCTGTTTCATTCACCTAGTATGTGAGAGGCTCTGGGTTCAATCCCCAATACCATCTCCCCTGCAAAAAAAAAAAAAAAGTATACCCTTAGAGGGAGTATACCCTTAGAGGAAGGGTTTTCAATTTTTTTCCCCCCATCATTTAGAATCAAGTGGTAATGCTCAATTGGGCCAAGACCACAGTGTATTTCTAAAACAATTTACAACATTTCTAATAAGCCTGAGAAATAAACTGGAAGTAAAGCAACAATTTCAAAAACATTAAAAACAAGGGTGGTGGCAGCACCCTTGGAACAGATTCCCATAATGATTTATCTGAAGGACTTCACTAGTTTTGAATGTCCACTTAGTAGTTCCTTTTTTAAAAAACATAATTGTCAAGAAAAAATACCTGACAAATTGGATATTAAACACTGACACAAACTTAGCCTCAGAAAGTGATTAAGTCCCTGTAAATCTTCTGCATATTCTATACTTATGTAGTTATAAAATTCTGCTTAATAGTCAACAATGCAATGTTCTAAATCTTCATTAAACATTCATTCTCCAAAGGTGGGGAGGGGGAACACAGACAAAAGATATTAAAAACCTTGAGAAGTTGAATTCTCCACAATTGAGAAGTTATTTCTCTTATACTGAAAGTATTTATACAATCACTCAGCATTAAAAATTTGAGTAGGGGCTGAGCCTATGGCTAGCATGCATGAAGCTCTGGGTTCGATCCTCAGCACCACATAAAGTAAAATATTGTGTCCACCTACAACTAATAAATATATTTAAAAAAATTGAGTAGGGGGCTGGGATGTGGCTCAATGGTACAGCACTTGCCAAAGAATGTGTGTAGCCCTGGGTTAAACTCCTATTAGCTCCTTTAGAATCATATTTGGACTTCTAGAATAAAAATGAAAGGGACCAAGTAATGAATTTTGAAAAGCTCCACCAAAAGGCGAAGCCATGTGTGCACATGTGTGGGGAAGATCAGAAGCAAGAAAAATGAGATGCCCCTTGTTCCAGCAATCTTCTGGTTTTTAAATTAATCTTGGTAGTTTTGGGCATCTTCCCACAAACACAACTGAAATGGTTAAAGTAAGAAAAAAAGTGAAAAAGGAGGGCAAATCTTATCTTGGAACCTGCCCAAGTGGGCAGATCTGAATGTTCCTTCTCTAGATCCCGGTGCGTCTTCACATGTTCATTTTATAGTTACCACTAAAACAGTCTGTGACAATCACTGCCTATGAACCACTATTTACATCCTTTGACTTAAGTAATCATCAGTTCATTGATATTTTTGTAAAGGACAATAACTTGTGATAAAACTGTAGAAGCTTACAACCAAAGAGAAGTGCAGAATGTGACATTTACTCTTTCTGGCTGTTACTGGCCATGATACAGAATGGAAATCAATCTCCTCCTCAGCATGCTAGTGTCCTAAATAACAGTTGCCATTCTTAGAGCACATGAACTGAACATGTCACTCCTAAGAAAAGTGAATATACACTAGTGGACTGAACAAGCAACTCGGCAGCATAGAAGTGACTGAATTCTGTAAGGCTGGGTCCCGGTCCCAGCTCTCTTTAACTAGCTATGTGGATCTCAAATTCTTTTCGCTTCACAGGCTCATTCATTCAACACTAAAATAAGTGGGTTGAACTAGATGTGTTCTGCAGTCCCTTTTAGCCATTGCATTCAAGGTTTTAAATTGTAAACTTCAACTGCTGTTTTTCCCTATTAAAAATGAGTGGGCTTTTTTGGCAGAAATTGATTAAGCTAATACTCTCATGGAAATACAAGGAACCCAGCACAGACAAAACAATCTTGAAAAAGAACAAGGTGGAGAATTCACACTTCCTGAATTCAAAACAGTGTGGTATTGGCATACAGGTAGATACATAGAATACTGACACAGAATTGGGAGTCTATTAACATTTATGGGCAATTAATTTTCAAAAAGGATGGCAAAACACTTCAATGGGCAAAGTTTTTCAACAAAAGATGCCAGGCCAACTGGATCTCTACATGCAAAAAAATAAAATTAGGGCCCTGGCAGAAGGCGGTGACCTTCAGCTGTCTGCTGCTGGTCCTGCCCCTAGCCATGCAGCTCTTCAGGGTACAGGTGTCCCCACAGGGTAGGTGGTTACACACACTGCACAGCAGCTGGGTAACAGGTGCACTGCTGGGGACTGAGCACTGCCGGGGACTGCATGATGGGCTGCTGGGCTCCGGAAACAGGCAGCCAGAGAGCACCGCCAGGGCCAGAGCAGGGTGGAGGAAGGGCAGGGCGGTCCTCTCCCCGCACCCACTGCACTCTGCTCAGCTCTGGCTGCTCAGTCCTCCTGGAGACAGCCTTGCAGCCATCCAGGGCTCCCCTTCAAGTGCAGCCCACGGGGCAGCTCTCTACTGTTCACTGCTTCCCTTTGCGAGTCTGTAACCACCAGTTCTTTGGGTCAGATTTTTTAATGTAATATGAAATCATAAATTTTGATTTAAAAAATGATATTAGATCCCCCACCTCACACATTAAACAAAAATCAATTCAAAATGGGTGAAAGAACTAAATTCAAAAACCAAAACTCTCAGAAAAAATAGGTCTCTATCTTTGGATGAGGCAATGGTTTCTAAGAAATGACACGCAGAGCACAGGAACCAAATATCGTACAAGGAACCAAAGGGAAAAAATTGGACTGCACCCAAATTATAAACTGTGTGTGCTTCAAAGTATCTACCAAGTGAAGAAAAGCCAAAGAATGAAATAAAGTAATTACAAAACTTATCATAACTCAACAAAAAGATAAACCAATTTAAAAATGGACAAAGAATTTGAACAGTCATTATTGCAAAGATGACATACAAGTAGCCAATAAGCACAGAGATGCTCAACACCATTATTCCTTAGGGAAATGCAAATCAAAACCTCAAAAACTAGGCTGGCTAAAACAAAAAGATGGGGAATAATAAAGATTGGCAGGGATGCAGAGAAAACGCCATCCTCAAGCACATGTAGGTGGGACATGAAACAGTGTGGTCACTTTGGAGAGTACTCTGGCAGTTTCTCAAATGGTTAGAGTTGTCATATGATCCGGCCATTCTATTCTTAAGTACATAACTCAAAATTACTGAAAATCTATGCTCATACAAAAAAACATACACGGGTGTTCAAAAGAGCATTCCTCATAACAGCCCAAACCGGGAACAACTCAAAATGTTCAGCAACTGGTAATAAACAATGTGTACAGTATACGATAGAATATAATTCAGCCCTAAAAAGGATACTGATACATGCTGCATTGATGAAACCTGAAAACATCATGCTAAGTGAAAGAAGTCAGACACAAAAGGCCACGTGTCACATGATTCCATTTTTATGAAATGTCCAGAAGAGGTAAATCCACAGAGATAGAATTGTTACTGATTAACAATGTGTTAGGGAGAAGGGAAAATGGGCATAACTGCTAATGGATAAGGGGTTTCTTTTTGGAATGATGAAATATTCTGGAATTACATAGTAGTAGTGGTTGCACAACTCTAAATACACCAAAAACAAATGAAATATACACTTTAAAAGAATGAGTATTTTATAGTATGTAAATTGTACCTCAATTTTTTAAAAAAAGGTAATAAGCCCTCCTTACATAATTGATTCCCTCCCTTCTGTTTCAGGTCTCTTACTGGTTCATGAAAACAGAAATAATTGGAATGATACCTGACATGTACAATCCCACTGCAATACAAGAAAATTTCTTAACAAAAATATGTGTAGATATCTGATAGTCCACATGTTATTTTTTTATTCTCAACAATAAAATCTTGAGTTTCTCTGAGTTCATGATTTATATCATCGTTGTTTCTAAACTTCTATTTTTCCTAAGTAACTGAGACTAAAAGTCTTCATTTTAGTAATACTGTCATCCAGAAATGGGCAGAAGTATTACTCTTCCAATGACACTATTAGTACAGCCACCTTAAAGCACTACTGTAAAATTTAATTCCTGTTCATAAAACCATAGAAGGGCTGGGCAAGAAATAATCTTTTCAATATTAGTATTATGATGTAATATGCATAACCAGATGCTTTAAACCATGAAACAACTGCAGACTTTCTTTCCCATGGAATATAAATAAAATTATAGACTTTATATGGTAAGAGACAAAAAAAAATGTTTAAAAGACATTTTTTTTTTGAAGTGCTAAAAAGAAAATATACTCTTTATCACCATCTGACACATTGGTTTGTACATCTGCTCTTCAGTATCAGAAGGCTCTAAACCTGTCTTTTTTTTTTTTTTTTTTTGAGGTACTGGGGATTGAACTCAGGGTCTGAGTCATGCTAGGCAAGCATCTACCACTGAGCTACATCCTCATGTCTTTTTAAAAATTTTTATTTTGAGACAGGGTGCACTAAGTTGTCCAGGCTGGCCTCAAACTTGTGATCCTTCTGCCTCAGACTTCCAGACAGCTGGGATCACAGGTGAGTGCCATTAGCATGATAATCCACAGTAAAGTTTTGGAAGCATTTGAAACAAATATCAATTCTGATATCACTGGGTTGAATTATACATAGTTTCAGATAAGTTAAATGAAACTGATGCTCCTAAAAATGCTAAGTGTAAAGAAGAGGGTTTAGGTACTTAAGAAATAAGTGTCAAGGTCTGCCATGATTAAGCTACTTTCTAAAAAATCATCAACGGATTACAGGAGGGCAACATGGTTTTCACTGCTTAAGTTCAGTGAAAATTGCATATATTCAACTTTTACTCTCAAACACACGTGGTTTACACTATATCGGGACAGCAAAGAATCTCTTATCCAATTTTAGTACTTTTGCAGTAATGTGTATAAAATCCAACCACAATTTAGGTAACCTTAGGAGAGAGCAATCCTAAGAGATTAAAACATTTACATCTTTTAATTAAATTGTACTATTATCTTATAAAAATGTGAGGTTTAACTTTGTTTTCTTAAAAATAGAGCACTAACAAGTTTCAAATACAGCAGTAACCTAGGTGATAGCTAAGATGTGTCTAACCTGTATGCAGAACTCTTAAGACGATAACACATCCAGGAGTTCCTTTAAATGACATATATTTAAATGATGCTATCATAATTCAAACTGAACAACAGAATCTTGATAAAACAAGAAATGGGAGAAATGAAAAAATGATTTCTGAACAAAATGTGTACTATATCACACGAAAGTGAGTCACTGGGCAATATAGGCATGAAGCAGATATGCTCCATGCAAAAACAGATTGCATATTAGAATTCAAGAGTCATAGCACACATGCTGTTTTTGTTTTTTAAATCCCTAAGCTCAAAAAACTGTTTTATCAATTTTGCTTCTCTTTTGTAACACATCTTTTTTAAATAACTCTCACTTTTCATTCCAGAAAATATAAGAAACAGTTTGCAAGACTGCCTGCAAACCATGTTTCTCTAAGGCCATGAACTGGTTTGCTAAGTTGTATTGTATTCAAGTAAAAAGTCCTTCTAAAATAAGGGGTCTGTAAAAGAAACCAATTACCTTCAATTCTCAGGCCTGTACACTTGTTAGGACCTCTAACACAGTGAAAGCCAAAGGTAGGGAGCTCATTTGGGCATTAGCAAAATGGTCTCTATCTCCTTTTTTTTCTTTTTTGTAGCACTGGGGATTGAACCCAGAGTCTTAAGCATGCTAGGTAAACGCTCTACCATTGAGCTACACTCTTAGCCCACTATTTACACATTTTAAAAATGTAATACATGTTCAGTTTTTCTGGCAGATTTCTTTCATATGTTACAAAACAAAACAGCAAAAGCTTAAAATAAGATAAGAATCCTTTTTCTTAGAAAGGTCAAGCAGATACTTCTTGACATCCTGTCTTTTACACAATAGCATACTGTTCATATAAAAGGTCTCTTATCCTATAAAAATCTTGACAAAGGCAGCCTTCTAATCCGATGCGTCCAGTTTCCGTCTAGAAATCAAAAAAAAAGCTCTTTAGTACATTTTCTGATCATTAACATGCAGACATAATAACCAAACTATATTAAATAGATTACTTTATGATTGGTCTGGAAATGGGTTGCTGTTAATCACAGAATATGGATATAATATTCAAGTAGTGAATTTAAGACACAAAAATGTCAGAGGATTCAAATAATATAAATTTACCATAAAATTATCATTTTTATAAGCCTCAAGCTCATCATTATAAATATAAATTACTGATCTTTCATTTTATGAAATTACTAATAAAGAATTTCATAATTCAAAGTGACAAAAACATCAGAAGCATCTTGTTTGATTCGGTCCTTATTAAAAGCATACTTACTCTACGAACTGCTACTTGATTGTTGCAAACAAGTACACCTCCTACAAATTCAGCTTGAATCCCCTCCCGTAAAAGAACTTGCTTGAAGTCTGATAGTCTTGGTTCATTCATAAAAACTGACTGATGTCCAGGAACCTTGGATGAGGTGAAAGGGAAAAGAATAACTTCAAGTAAAATACCAAACACAAGGTTGTACTGTATAAAAAACTCTACATGATCTCTAAAATATTTTCCATTATTCCCTGAAGTCCTTCAACAGATTGTTTCAAGACTGTAAATCACATTCCAAATTTGTTATTCTGAATCTTGCTTCATTATTTAACATTACAAAGCCCTTCACATCTTCTGATGTTTCACAATTTTATTAGTCATGCCTCCTAATAAAGGAGAAGTGTGATGTTATACTCTTCACTCACACACTTGCCCAGAGAGGGTCAACTAGAGGCCAAGAAGCAGTAATGAACCAAAAATTCCTTTTTCACATCTTAGTTTCCTTTATTTTTAGTGTGGAAGATAATTCTTCCTAAATCCCATTTCCACTTTCCCTCCTCCCTCAGAGTGAATGCAATGGATGCTACGGGTTCAGAATCAGAATGTCAAGTGGATCTTGCCTAATGCTTCAATTCCTTGAAATTGTTCTGAAAAACACTAGCTTTAGCACAGAGAGAAAAAAAGATTCTCTTAATTCCTCCTCCTAATTTCAAGAGTAGTACTAGAAGGGACTCCAATGACAGGCTATTTCTCTGGTCTCAGCCCTATAGCAGGGCTGCAGACTTCACCTGACAAGCCATGTGGGACTCTTACAGTTTTTAATACTGTTCTAAGTTTCATTACCTAAAATCTTTGCTAATGAACTAGATACCTCTTGAGAACATGTAAATACTAGCCTAGAATTATAATCAAACCTAATAAAAGATTTCTAACTGTACCAAAACCAAAAGTGAATTAAAATGAACTGAAAATGCACAAAAATGGAATGCAAGAGAATGACATTCTCAGGTGATCCCCACAATCAAACTTGATATTTAAAAATCCACACTGAAGGCTGGGGATATAGCGCAGATGGTAGAGTGTTTGCCTCGCTTGCACAAGGCCCTGGGTTCAATCCCCAGCATCACAGAAAAAAAAAAAAAAAAAAACCACATCATGAAACAGAAGATTCGCTAACGGTTTCCTTTAAATTGTTACTAGCCATAGAGAGCTGACACACATACAGAAACACGCCTTGATTCATCTTTTTTAAGAACTCCAAAATTAGCCTATATAAAATATACTTTAAATAGTTAAAAACATACAAGGAAAACTAGGAGAAGGAAATTAAGGAAGCGACAGAAAAGGCATGGGCTCTTACCTCATGCGGTGGCAAAGGCTCCAAGGTGGGGATGATCTCACTTTCTTCACCCGTTTCTTTCTCATCATCTCCAAACAGACTTTTCATGGCCTTTTGCTGAGCTATGACGCTGGCATCGGAAGGAGCGTCCACCTGCATCTCTGAGTCTTCACCATCATCCTTTAGTTCTCCTTCTTCTAAAATAACTCCTGTGTCTACTTTGGAAACTCTCATGTCTAAGACACCATCTATCCATGCTAATTCAGCATCTTTTGCCTTACAAAACTGAAGGGAGCTGACAAGTGAATCTTTTAATCTCACCTGAATATGCAAGTGGGAGGGGGGGAAATAACACCCAGAGTATAAATTAACAAATAAAATATAACTGCTTAGTGTCATTTTCTAACATATACTTAAAATCTGAAAATCTTTCATTCATCTGATCCTCACAATCAATGACCTGTAAAGACCTAATTTTTTGGAAGATCATCAGGGTTCTTATCTACTTTCCAAAGTGCAGGTTTTCTTAACCCTGACTACACATCAGAATTACATGGCAATCTGTTTGTTTGTTTGTTTGTTTTCAATATTAACACCAGGGCCTCACCTCCAGTGGTACTAATATAACTAGTGAGATTGAGACCAGAGCACTCAGATGGGTCTCATGTGTATCCAAGGCTGAGAACCACTGAGCGGTCTCCCGTCTGGTGCTTGGTGTACTTTAGTTATGAGCTGTTTGTGCTTTCCTGAACATACCATGCAGTTTCACACCTCCATGTTCTTGGAATGCTGCTTCCTCTTGCTCTGCTCAGAATAACTTTTCTGCCTGGGATGTTCTAACCCTTATTTTCCTCCCCCTGATACAGACCTCACCCCTACTTTAAACTGTCACTTTGTCCCACAACCAGATTAAAGTTCATCTCTCCTCTATACTAATCCTGTTTTCTATGCCTGACTCCATTTCTCCATTTGTTTCAATTAGAAGAACCCTGATATCTGTGGGGTTTGTTTTGTTTTTTTTACTTTTCATTCTTGAATACTCATCATTCTCTTTATTTCTATACTTTTATAAATACTGTTCCCTCTGCCTAGAACACTCTTTGCTCCTCTTTCCTACTCCATCTGTCCCGACAACCCAGCTGCATCCTAGCAGATGTTCAGATTAGTTATTTTCCAGGAAACCTTTCCTACACCTCCAAATATGGTGGGGTCCTCCTCTTTCCATTCTCATGGCATTCTGCACTTCCGCTAGTGGAGATTAAGTGTGTGTAAAACACTACTGACTTGTAAACCCACAGACTATCGGATCTGCTAAGGCAGGAGCCACATAGGCCTCAGCCCCCTCCCCCAGTACTCCAAATGTATCTGTCCTAATATGCAACAAAAGTACTTATTTCTAAGAGGCTCAACTGTCAGCATATTTACCTGGTAGATGTGTGTTTCACTGGTGGCATCGACTGTTTCGTGTAGCTTTGGCATGTACACTTTAATATCCTTCCCACCAAACGCGCGGCAGCACTCTGCCAGATCTTGACTGGCCTCTGGTGGGCCATGGACAATGATCAACTGTCGTGGTTTCATCTGATTAATGATTTTCTTAATGGAATCCCCATCAGAGCGTCCTTCATAGTCTATATAAGTAACCCTGGCTCTGTAATTAAACATGATTATTCAAGCTTGCTTTTCTGATAAAAACTAGGCTTTCTAAAAATGAATTTTATCATCAGTAAAGAAACATACAATATATAAAATGATGATCTGAGAAATACATGTTATATTGTTAATAGCATTAGTTACATCTTGGCTATACCAAAGTATATACAAAAGATATCCCTGCAACAAATAAACCAATTTGCTCACTGAAGACTCAAAAAAAAAAAAATTTCCAAAATAATCACTTATTGCTATTATTAACATATACTAAATAAAAGGGAAAAAAGGCTTACCTACTTCAGATCATATTAAATTTTCTAGACATTAGCACATTGGAGATGTTTGAGTCAAGGAATACATTTTGTGAAATGAGCAGTTACTAAGAAAAATCAAATTTTTGAGCTGTATTACTTTCTTCCACCTGTTTTTGCACTTACTAAAAGGCTAGAAAAAGTGTTTCTCCAAGTAAATGTAAAATTTCCTGTTCAACTCATCCCCCTCCAACCACTAAATCAATTATTTTGGTATTCAAATATTGTTAATGAAGAGAAAATACCACCATTCTTCACAAGTCTTTTCATTGAAAAATAAATTATTATTACCATTTTTCTGGCACTGGGCATTGTGCATGCAAGTCAGTGCTCTACCACTGATATTAAAATTTAAAAGCATAAACTTACCAGAGGACATTTGGAAATTTCATTTTTGAAACAAGGTAAAAGGACTTACTTTATTTCAATAGACTCTGTTGTAGAAATACACTTAGTAGGAACATCAGATAAATCTTGATCCATGGGTTCATCTCCATTTGTCAAGCCAGATTCTAATTTGCTTTTTTCTTCTTCAGTAGCTTGAAGTTCTGGCACTAAGAAATCCTCTGGTCTAAATAATAAGTCTCTAATTAGAAGTAGTAAAAAGCAAGCTAAATTATATAATACATATAACTAACTAGTAGGTGGCATAATTTTTAGACTCCTCACATTATTTTAAGACTTAAATATGCATTTGATCCAAAGCCAGGACAATTTCATAATATCAATTATCAGATGACTATATATGTTATGTTTCTCCTAACACTAAAAAATGCTCTTTAAGCACATCACATGGACTAGTGAAAGGCCTCTGACAGGTCATTAGAAGACCTCAGTGGCTATAACAAGTGCTGTCATAAGCTGGTCCTGCATTAAAAAAAAAAAAAAAAAAAAAAAACACTTTATTTTTTAGTTGTGGGTGGACACAATACCTTTATTTTATTTTCATGTGGTGCTAGGGATCGAACCCAGTGCCTCGCACATGGTAGGCAAGCGTTCTACCTCAAAGCCACAACCCAGCCCTCATGCATTCTTATCAATCATTACTTTTGGCCAATGTTTGTGGTTTCCTTCATCAAATCCCAATACCTATAAATCTCAGAACTCCTCTAACGTACTTAAGACCCCCAGTTACTTCCTTTCTGCCCAAAGAAAGCAGAAGACTATTTGCACAACACTGAAAAGGTTGGCATACAAAATTGTTAGCTCCCTCATAACCTTCATCTTAATTTCAATGTATTATTAACACATTGCTCTTTCCATTTTTACTTCCAATATCAGAATCCTAACCAAAAGTAAAACCAAAATCATCTTTTAACATTCTCTCTAACCTCCTATAACTGTCTATGCTTTACTCCCAAATCCATTCCCACTCCTCTCTGAGAATCCAGATCTCCTCGCAAAACCCAGGTAGTCCGTATCTCCAACAACAATCTAAAGAGTAACAACAGCAGTAGCAACCACTTAAAGCACATTTATTATGAGCTAGATTCTATACTAAGTGCCTGAGAAACACAACCTTATGCTGGGGAGTATAGCCTGAGTCTAATCCTTAGCATCCAAAATAAAACCTCCACCAACAAAAAGCAACCTCGTTTAATTCCTATCACCATTTTTCAGATAAGGACGTTGAAGCTGAAGAGCACAGTCCATATGTTAAACACACAGGCCACTCATCAAGTGGAATAATAAGCAAACTCGCTAGAGTGAAGTTATGTTTCCTCATTATTTTAGACAGCCAAGTAGAAATGGTATTTTCCTAATTATACCCAAGAATGACCTAAGTCATTCTACATGCAGAAGACAGCATTATGGAAGAAAGAAAGAAAGAACAAGAAATACAGAGAAACACAGCCAGGTGGAGGTGTATGCCTGTGGTTCCAGCTACTGGAGAGGCTGAGGCAGGAGGACTGCTTGAGCCCAATATTTTGACACAAGCGAGGGCAACAGAGGGAAACCTGGTCTCAAAAATCAGGGAGGGTTGGGGGGGCCCTAAGCAATTTAGTGAGATCCTGTCTCAAAATACAAAATGAAAAGGGCAGGGATGGGGCTGGGGATGTGGCTCAAGTGGTAGTGCGCTCACCTGGCATGCATGAGGAGCTGGGTTCAATCCTCAGCACCACATAAAAATAAAATAAAGATGTTGTGTCCACCGAAAACTAAAAAAAAATTTTTAAATATTAAAAAAAAAAGGGCAGGGGATGTGGATCTGTGGTAGAGCACCTCAGGGTTCAATCTCTGGTACGAGAGAGAGGGGGGGAGAGAGAGAGAGAGAGAGAGAGAGAATGAATAGAAAAGTAGGAAAAAACTGGATTGTGAAAGACACTGTAATTATGCTGAGGCACCTGACATCAACCAGGGAAACAACAGAAACTGCACCCTGAGGATTTCTACACAGGTTAGTGGTGTATTCAAATCTGCAAACAGAACATAATTTCAATAGTTTTTCTAGTAGTGGGTGTAGATTTCCCATGGTTCATCTCATATTCCTCTTGTAACTAAATCCATTTCCTAAACTACAATTACCACTGCAAGTTCTTTTTATCCTATGTCCTTCACCCAAGCATGGCCATTACTTCTCTTCTTAAGACGGGGAAAGTTTAGGTCATCTTTTTAAACTTTCCCTACAACTAAGTAATAAAACTATCACTTCTCCCTTAATATTAATTCTCCAATGTTCCTCAACATTTCTATGTTTCAAACTATAAATCTACATCCTTTAAGCCAAGATGCTCAGAACTTAAAGTACATGGTGACCAAAAAGACTAAATCACTGTGTTTAATTAAACACTGGATCCTTAAATAAATAAGGTTTTGTTGTGCTCACATACTTTATGATCTCTCCATACTCGTCCCATTTAATCCTTTCTTCTGGGGCAGGAAACATGGGATAAGATTTCTTTGCCTGTTTGAAGAAGCTTCCTTTTCTACTACCTTCACCTTTCATCATCAGGTCGTGCTTTGTCTTATGAGCTGACGGCTGGTCAATATCTTCTTCCACATCACTCTCATCGCTGGAATCAATATCTGCCCTAGGAGGAATTTGGAATAGATCAAGGTCACAAACATCCAAACAGATTTTGAATTAATATTTATAAAATAGTCACTGAATTAACATTCCATATTATTAATTCAATATTAATTTGAGTGATATCATAAAAATACTTAATACGATTGGATCAATATTTTGTAAAACATTAACTGCCAGTTCATAAATATGTTTAATATTAACACCAAAAGGATTTGTTACTTTAGCCATGAAAGATGTAACAAAAGTAATGAAGTCCTAAGAAAGTTGAAATATTTTTAACTGAATGTTTAAGTCTTAGAAATACATTTCAAATTACATACATAAAATTGTACTATTTATGAAAATAACTCACTCCTTTGATTGTTCAAGTTTTTTAGCAGCTTCCTTCTTTAGCTTCTCTTTTTCCAAGTATTCTTCAAGTTCTTTCCCTTCAAGCTTCACACGTTTCCTCAACTAATGAAAAACAACAGACAAAATATCAGTATTGGGGGTTAAGGCAGTGGGGTGTGAGATACATCATAGTTCTAAACTGATTCATCATCTTTAAACTTTTCTCTGAAATTAAACAAATTTCCATTAATGTAATTATAAATCCTATTTAGATTAGTACTAAAATTGAGTTGTTTTACATCTAAGGTGGGTTTAATTGAAACAGGTTAAAAAGCAGCGGGCAATCTGAAAAAGAAAATGCAGGTTAAGTATTTTTATGATTTGGAGTAGATGAGGCAAATAAAACCCTTATATGACATAAAGCTCAAAAGACAGAACTGGGCGTGGTGGTGCACACCTGTTATGCCATCTGCTCAGGAGGCTAAGACAGGATTGTGAGTTCAAAGCCAGCCTCAACAACTTAGCAAAGCCTTAAGCAACTTAGCAAGACTGCATCTCAAAATAAAAAATAAAAAAAGGCTGGGGATGTCAATCAGTGGTTAAGTACCCCTGGGCTCAATTCCTGGTACCAAAAGATTAAAAATATACCACCAACAACAACAACAAAAAACCTTTAAGTCTCACCAAATTAAAAGAAACAGAAAAAACAGTGGCATATCAGAAGCTACTTTTTCCTAAGAGCTCTTTCAAATCAAGAAAAAGGGGGCTGGGTGGTGGCTCAGTGGTAGAGTGCTTGCCTGGCATGTGTGAGGCACTGGGTTCAATTCTCAGCACCACATATAAATAAATGTTCATCGACAAGCAAATATATTAAAAAAAGAAAAAGGTAACACATCATAAAGGACAAATATATATAAAGCAAATCCAGTAAAAACATTGAAAACTGAGGAATCTGGGCATACTATTTTTGTGACTTTCCTGTTAAGTTTGAAATTAGTTCAAAATACAAAGGAAAAAAAAGTTAAACCAAATTCAGGCACTTCTAATATAAGTGAATTACATGTTTACATAGGTATCCCACATCTGTCTAGTAATTTATCTGAAAACAAGTTTCATTACAGTGTCTTTTTTTCATTACAGTTAGTAACTCACATAGATACTTTATTCATAAATAAATTTATTTTGTTTTTGTGGTGCTAGGGATTGAACCCAAGGCCTTGTGCATGCAAGGCAAGCACTCTACCAACTGAGCTATATCCCTAACCCCCATAAATAAATTTTAATAAAACCTTTACCTTCATGATTTATTATGCCACTGCTATCATAAACTTTGGTCTCCATCTGCCATTTATAAAAATTTTTTTAAAAATGCATGTGGGGGGGCTGGGTTTCAATCCTGAGCACCACATAAAAATAAACAAATTAAATAAAGTTTTGTGTCCATCTACAACTAAAAAGAAAAAAAAAAGGAATGATATACTTTCTCTGAATCCTTGGGGTTCATAGAAAATGGGGTTAGGGATGTAGCTCAAAGGTAGAGCACTTGCTCAGCATGCACAAAGCCTTGGGTTCAATCACCAGCACCATTAAAAACTAACACTACTGGGGCAGGGATTGTGGCTCAGTGGTAGAGCACTTGCCTAGCAGTGAGGCACTGGGTTCTATCCCCAGCACCACATAAATATAAAACTAATAAAATAAGGTATTGTGTCCATTTACAATTAAAAAATTATTTTAAAAAAACTAACACTACTGTAATGTACACTTAAACATGGTTAAGATAGCAAATTATATGCATTTTTTACCACCACCACATAAAAGATGGCTTTGGTCACCTTTTATTTTTATTATTATTTTATTTATTATTAAGGGAATGAAAAAATAAAAATAGAAAAACCGGTTCAGAAACTACTGCAGAGTCTAGGCAAGACACTTAGCATTGGGCTAGGATGACAGCAGAAGAGAAAGAGAAAAGTAGATAATACAGGATATGTCAGGCGGTCAGGTCAATGTAACTTGCTGAACTAGGTGTGGATGTTGAGAGAAAAGTAACAAAAAAAATAAGTTGAATGATCCGTGCATTAATAACCTGTACAGGACACTGGTTACCCCCAGGGATAGGGAGAGACAGAGTCAGGAAGTAGGCGTATGTGGGGCTGATTCTATTTCTTGAACTAGGTGCAGGCTAGACAAGTGTGTTCAGTATGTGAAAAATATCACACACTATACTTATGATATGCACGTTTCAGTATATATTATACTTCAGTGAGCATTTTTAATTTTCTAGATTTTTGGCTCGAGTATAAGGGGAAGCTTTCCCATGAGGAAGACAGAGAAGAGCACGTCAGGAGGAGGGGGGAAAGATAAGTGTAAAAATTGTTTGGGATGTGATCAAGTAGAGGGGAAAAAAGATGAATGATGGAGAGATAAGAGATAACTGCAGAAGACATATCCCTAAGATGGTGAGCAGGGAAAGAATCCTCAACACAAGTATTACTTTTTAAATACTAAAAAATTTGTCATATCCTATTTTCAGCTGCTTCAGATTTCATGAGGACACATTGGAATGTCATTTTCTTCAAAGTTTTAATATTCTTTTATTAATTCCTCAAATGGCATATCAGGCCTAATTAAATTTCTAGTAATTAAAATTTTTAAATTAGGTATTTTATATCTCATTAAACTGCTTTAAGTACTTCTGAGTTTTTAATTTTGTATTTCTAAGCTATTAAGTAACCTAAGACAGTATTTTACTTTGATATACTTTCTCTGAATCCTTTGCTCAACAATTCTGTATTTACAGTCAATACATATCAGATATTATTTACTAATATTACAGTTTTCTTATAAATAGGTTATATAAGACAAAGATACAACTTAGCTTTTAAAAACCAAATGATCTTTTAAATGGTTGCTATGAAGACAAAATGAAAAGTAATCATCTAAAACTTTATACAACCCTGGCACTTATTAACCAAACCATCCAATATCGATGACTATAAACAGTAGAGTCAATTATACTAGTTTTGGGAAAATGACAGATCTGATGGATTTGTTATCAAGCCAAATCATCTTTTAGCATCTTGGTCATTCTGCTAATTGTCTGCTAAGGCAGCAGGTCTGGATGCAGGAACAGGTTAGTATATTTAGTGACAATGAGATACAGGAATTCCTGTCTGACTACTTCTACTTCTCTGCTACTTTTCAGACAAGATCATGTGCTATGAATAAGAGTGTATTATAGGTTATTTAAGGAATTAGAGGCATAAAAATGTCCTTACTAGACAGAGAGAAAACGAATATCCTATAGAATGTAGAGTGCTAGTACTAGGTGCCCTTTTGAGATGTGAAGTCATGAAAATATAGAGAAACCTGTCCACACGGTCACATTTAACTCCAATGAAAAAGCTGCTTGAACGCAGGTACAGACTAAGCAAATAGTTTAGTGCCAAGGCTTTGCCAGGTGAGTAAAATAAACAGAAGAATGGTAAGAGATTTAAAGGTGTTTACTAAATGATTAATCATGGATCAATGACTCTAAATAAGAATGCTGGACAGTGAGATTCACGAACTGAAAGTCTCAGTGGAACTAAAGAGCTCTTGGCATGGGAGTAGAAGGGAAAGTCAGCCGTAAGATCAGAGTAGGGGAGTTGAGGTAGAGAGCAGGAGAGGGGAATGGACAGCCAGGGCAGAGTGGAGGAAAGCTCACTGAGAAGAAAGGCATAAGGAACTGAGAGGACTAAAGAACTGGACAGAGCAGCCATGTGGATGCTCAAGACAACAAGAAAGGAGTCCTGAATACAAGTGGGCAAGCAGGCCATGAACTAGGGTCTAAAATCACTGATGAGTGATAGAGAACAACCACAAGATTAAGAAATGTCAGAAACAAAGAGGGATTCGTATATATATCATCAGGTCTGATGGCATAAGCTGCAAAGAAAAGAAAAATGGCTTAAAAACTGTAGCACAGAACAAGGAGGAGACTTACCCAGCACAGAAGAAATGAGAAAAGGAAAAGCCTATCTATTTAAGAGGCCTACAGAAAAGAACACTATGCGAAGCAGCCAGATTTCAATTAGGGAAAGCAAAGACAAGGAACTTTTCAGAAAAAGAAGATACTGTGTATATGTATTCCCTCCCAGTATGATTCTAGAAGGTACCCTGCAGGAGTTTAAGATTGAGAAGGGGCTTGTAAGTTTGTGCTGTAAAAGGCTCTCTAACTCAGCCTTAAAAAAGAATGAAATTATGGCATTTGCCAGTAAATGGATGGAGCTGGAGGATATTATGCTAAGTGAAATAAGCCCATCCCAAAAAACCAAAGGCCAAATGTTTTCTCTGATATGCTAATTCACAATAAGGAAAGGGGGGCTAGGGAAGAATAGAGTTATGACCAGTGGGATTCTACACCATGTATAACCAGAAGAATGAGAAATTATCCTCCATCTATGTATGATGATGTAACAAAGTACATTCTACTGTCATGTATAATTAAAAAAGGCTCTCTACTGTTATTCTTTTTTTTCTTCTCTACTGCTATTCTTAAAAAAATTCCAAAACAATTTCAAGTTTTGCTTTTGGTCCCTGATTTTTATACATTATGCATAAAATACCCCCAACAGTTATAAGATACAGTGTTTGCTCACCTCTATTTCTGTAATTTTTTCAGAAGGATTATCAATTAGGAAACGTGCTAAAGTCCCAGGAGTAGTTCTATAAGTCAGAATGATTGAGTTTTTAGGGTCCTGACACCACTGAATAAAGAGATCCCTTGAAAATCCACATTCCAGGTCAGGTTGGCTGGCAAGTACAACTTTGGGGCTAGGCACACGAGCCAAGTCAGAAAGACCGTGGCATAAAGAGAGATGGCGAAACTGAAATGGATTATTTCTTTTGTCTTCAAAACATCTCATCAATTTATCACTCATCCATTCTACCTAATATAGGAAAAAAAGATGACAATTATTAGAAAATACTGTAACTTCAATGTATTCTAAAATAGTCAAGGAATTCAAGTTCTATCTTGTTTCAAGTCTTTTTACCCACAGTAGCTTAAGTCTATACCATTTGATAAGCAAATTGTGTTCCCCATTAGATCCTCGCGCCCCTAAAAATTTCATCCTTAAAAATCAAATTCTGTACTGTTTCATTATAAGTGATCTAAATCTTTTAGAGAAGGCAGTGTATATGTTCTAAATAAATAACTTACCCTACAGACTGCTATTTAAAGAGAAACACCTTATTCAAAAGAAAGAACAATGAATTCTAATATTTATATCCTATGAAGAGGATATATATTTATCCCCATTTTATACAGACTGGTAGAACAAGAGTTAGAAGAGAAGCAACCTGCTTAATCTGTAAAATGGAGGCAAACACTACTTCATAGGGTGCATGTAGATTAAATAACACATACATATAAAGCACCCATAGCCAGTAAACAGTTAATGCTGAGCTATTATTATTAACCACCCCTTCAGAAAAATGAAATACAAAAGGCAATTAAGACACTAAAGTCCATAAGCCCAATCACTGTAGCAAAGTTCTTTATTATGGACAATAACAAACCTGGGACTTAGAAAACTCCACCACATTATAACTGACATTATTTAGGAGTGCCAAGGAGTAAACACCCAATCCTGCATCTTTAGTTCTCCAGATCTGATCAAGAAGTTGAGCAAGTTCCAAAACTCTGCCTGCAGTGTCCACTGCTATTAATACATTTCCATCACCTCGAAGTGTTTCCAGGACATTTGCTAGAAAACAGGAATGTAAAATCTTTGTAGTTCAAAATTAATACTTTGCTATAAAATTAAAGACAACTCTGTCTCCCTTTTTTTATGACAAATACTATAATTTATACATAAGCAATTACTAGGTCAGGTACAAAGTGAAAGAATTTTGTTTAAGTCAGCATAACCATTTTTTTTTTTTTGCAGTTGTATCTGGACAGCTTGCCTTTATTTTACTTGTTTATTTTTATGCAGTGCTAAGGATCAAATCTAGTGCCCCACACATGCTAGGCAAGCACTCTGCTATTGAGCTATAGCCTCAACCCCAGCACATCCACTTTTGATTCTGTTAAATATATCTTCATAAGAGTAAAAAACAATACCATTAACTTTTTTTAAGTCATTGAAAAATTATAAATCAGTAGTTCCTAACATTTTCATGTTAAGTCCACATAGAAAATGGTACTTGTAACACTGGGAAAATTCAATGACTAGGTCAAATGCAACCAGCTTGGGGCTTCCAGGTCATCCTGGACTTACCACCTGTCTAGCCCAATGAAGTTTGTTAAGATTAATTACCAAATTTATATGTACATTCAAACACATGCACATAATTTTATACATCTGTGTGTATATATGTGTGTGTGTATATATATGTATACATATAAAATATATATTTTGTATACATGTAGAATAAAATATAGATCATATTCTCATATTCTCTTCCAACAAAAGCATTTTTATAAATAGATTTCTTTGCTCTGGTAAAAGTCTTAGAAATACTTGGTAAAAGCAAACTCCAGCAAATAAACAAACAAACAAAAGCAAGAGCTTTCTAAAATCAGTGAATTAGAGAAATGCAATATACTATTTATACTTAAAAGAAATTTTTTTTTATAATTATAGATGGACAGAATGCCTTTATTTGTTTATTTTTATGTGGTGCTGAGGATCAAACCCAATGCCTAACACATGCTAGGCAATTGCTCTACCACTGAGCTACAGCCCCAGCCCTAAATTAAGGTAGTGGTTATTAACATATGTATTTAATATATATGTAAATATTGTATTAACATAGTGAAATCTAATTTTCCCATTGAAATCTCATACAACTTATTTAAAAAAAAAAAAAAAAAAAATGAAGTGAAGCAGCTCAAACCAAAGCAGAAGTGAACCATAATGGCTCAGAGGCTCTTGAAGACCAAGATGACTAATTATAATTAAAACACCCAACACCAAACCAGAGGACTATTTGTACCCTCATATCTTCTAGTTTTCTTTTAGAGTGTGTTTTTCTATTAAATATGTATGAGGTCTTTATATACCAGTAGCGCCCAGGAGAGCTAACTAGCCATGTGTTGAATGGCAGGGAGAAGACAATTCACATCCATTCCACAAAAGCATTTTCTTATACAAAATACTGAGGTGGCCATATATTTCTTCAAAAAAGTAGTAGTTAGCCAATCTCTTTTGACTAAGTTAAACACAATTCACTGTGATTCATGCTACCATGCACTCACACAGCTCTTTAAAGGGGACAGTGGATAATACATACTCAGAAGTTGTTCATCTCTCTGTTTTCTTCTAGGCTGCACATATGTAGCATTAAATGAATCTGTGATAAGTAGAGAGGGTCTGCTTAGCATTTCCAGGGAACATCCATTTAAGTGGCTATAACAAAGTTTAAAAAGAATATTTTATATCATTTCAAATAAACAATAATAGCTTCTCTTAAAAAAACAAGCAGTTGCTTTTAAAAGCATTTTTTATTTCCTTGGTTAATATATTTGCTCGTTAATTTTTTGAAATCTGATAAATTCAAAATGTATAAAGAAAAAAAAAATTTCCAGAGTACCATCATTCAAGATTACTGATATACTATTAGGTTCATCCTTCTAAGCATATAAATTTTTCTATGCATATACATATGCATTTTTTTAAATTTTTTCTTCTGAGACAGGGTCTCATTAAGTTGCCCAAGATGTCCTCAAATTTGTGATCCTCCTGTTTCAGTCTCCCAAGTTGCTAGGATTACAGGAACAACCCCACCATGCCCAGCTTATGTGTACATTTTAAAAAGTGGCTATCCATGTATGCTTCTACATTCAGTTCTATATCCTTTTATTCCCCATTAAAATTTTTTCCTAAACCTAATTTTTAACAATTGTGAAAACTTTCTATCAAGTCTATACTATGTTTATTTGATCATTTCCTTTTATTGATATTTAGGTCTCTTTTTGCCATTATATCTTTCAAAGAACATCTTTACAAAAAGCTTCAGTTGCATTTTGATTGTTTTTTAAGGACACATTCCCAGAAATGTATTTATTAGAATATACAAGTATTACTAAATACTAGAATACTATATATATATAAATATTATATTATATATATATAATATATAAAATATATAATATTTATCTTTTTAAGTTATTTGTTCTAATTTGTTATACATACAGCAGAATGCATTTTGATTCACAGTACACATATGGAGCACAATTTTTCATTTCTCTAGTTGTACACAAAGTAGAGTCATACCATGTGTCTTCATATATATTATGTAATGTAATTATATATTTATATATAAATATATGTATGTGTGTGTGTGTACATACACACACCACCACACACACACACACACACACAACTACATTTACTAGAATATACAAGTATTCCAGAAAACTCCCTTTTCCAGAAGGTTTACCAGAAAGACTGACTAACTCATGAACTCACCAATATTACTTCCTTTTCTATTTAATTCTAAGGCATTTGAAATTTATTTTGTCATATGATAAAAGACACAAATTAATTCTTTTCCAATATTGTTAAGTTCGTTTACCATTTACTCAAACACCCACACTGTCTTCATTAATCTATGATTACAAGAGTCTAAACTCAATCTATTAGTTTTAAATATTTCTTAATATAAAGACCTTGAGGCTACTTGTAATATAAAATAGCGATGAACAACGTGTAGATATGGCAAAAGAAACCTGTATGAAACCAAACATGAAAAATGTTAAAAAATAATGCTGTACCAAATGAAATATGTAAAAATATAATTATTGTGTCCTCCTTTAAAGGGAATCTGACATTATTAGAGCTGATAAATTCAGCAAAATAGCAAGAAACAAAATGAACATACAAAAATGAACACTTTTTCTATACACCAATATAATGAACACTCTGAGAAACAAAGCAGAAAAACAATTCCATTCACAGTAATTTAATTAAAAAAAAAAAACACCCAAGAATAAAAATAACCAAGCAGATAAAAGACCTATATACAATGAAAAGTATAAAACACTAAGAAAGAAATTGAAGACATTAGATAAAGAACAGACCTCCCATGCTCATGGAGTGGAAGGATTAATACTGTTAAAATGGCCATACTATTGAAAGTAATCTATAGATTCAAGGTAATCCCTATCAAAATATCAAAGACATTGTTCATAGAACTAGAAAAAAGAACTCTAAAATTCATATGGAACTACAAAAGAACCTTAAGAGCCAAAGCAATCCTGAGCAAAAAGAGCAATGCTGGAGGCATCATAATACCTGATTTCAAAACATACTATTGAACCATAGTAACAAACAGCATGGAAAAATGTGGAAAAAAACAAATAAACAAATAGTATGGTATTTGCACCAAAACAGACATGTTGGTCAAAAGAATAAACTAGAGGACCCAGAAATAAAGGCACTCATCTACAGGTAATTGATTCTCAACAAAGGTGCTAAAAACATATGTTGGAAAAAGACAGCCTCTTCAACAAATGCTGCTAATAAAACTCAGACAACCATAGGTAGAAGACTGAACCATGCTTCCCATCTCTCACCCTGTACAAAAATCAACTAAAAAATGGATCAAAGACCATAATGTAAGACCTAAAACTTCTAGAAGAAAACATGGGAGAAATACTTCAAGACTTGGCATAGACAACAATTTTCTGAACAGGATTCCAATAGCTCAGGAAACAAAAGCAAGAACAAACAGGATTATTCAAATTTAAAAAGCTTCTGCACAGCAAAGGAACCAATTAACAGTGAAGAAATGGCCTTCAGAATAGGAGAAAATATTGGCCAGCTATTTATCTGATGCAGGATTAATATCCAGAATAAAAAAAAAATTAACAATGAAAGAACAAGTAATCCAATTAAAAAATGGGCAAACAACCTGATTAGACACTTCTCAAAAGAAGTATGAGCCACGCCTGGTAGTGCTCACCTGTAATCTCAGTGACTTGAAAGGTTGAGGCAAGTGGATCACAAATTCTAGGCCAGCCTTAGCACCTTAGTGAGACCCTGTCTTAAAATAAACAATAAAAAGGACTGCGGATATAGCTAAGTGGTAAAGCAACCCTGGGTTCAAACCCTAGTACAAGGAAAAAAAAAGTAGTATATGAATGGCCAATAAAGATATGGGGGAAAAATATCTTTAGCCATCAGGGAAACGCAAATCAAAACTACATTGAGGGCTGGGGATATGGTTCAATGGTAGACCAGGCATGCACAAGGCCCCAGATTCAAGCCCCAGCACTACAAAAAAAAAAAAAAAAAAAAAAAAAAAAAACTAACAAATGCTGGCTAGAGGTAGAGACAAAGGAACTTGTATACACTTGGTGGGAATGTAAATTAGTACAGCCACTAAGGAAAACAATATACAGGTTCCTCAAAAAACTAAAAATAAAACTACCATATGATCTAGTTATACCACTCCCAGGTACTGATCTAAGGAAAATAAAGTGAGCACACAAAAGATACACCTGCATATCTATGTTTATTGTGGCACTATTCTCAACAGCCAAGATATGGAATCAGCCTAGATTCCCATCAACAGATGAATAGATAAAGAAAACATGGCATACCCAATGGAGTATTATTCAGCCATAAAGAAGAATGAAATCATGTAATTTGCAGGAAAATGGATAGAACTATATATAACATCATGTTAAGTGAAATAAGTTAAACACAATGACAAGTATCATGTGTTTCCTCTCAATATCTGTAGCCATCAGGGAAACGCAAATCAAGAGAAAAAAGACCCTGAAAATAGAAGAACTATTAGGGAAAGAGGAGGGGGTTATTGGGGAACAGGATGAGATGAGAGTAGAAAAGAGAGTAGACATGATCAAAGCACAATATATAGCCAGGTATGGTGGCACACACCTGTAATACCACAGCTCAGGAGGCTGAGATAGGAGGATGGAGAGTTCAAATCAGCTTCAGCAATAGCGAGGTGCTAAGCAACTCAGTGAGACCCTGTCTCTAAATAAAATACAAAATAGGGCTGGGGATGTGGCTCAGTGGCCAAGTACCTCTGAGTTCAATCCCAGGTACCCTGCACCAAAAAAAAAAAAAAAAAAAAGGCACATATATGGCTGGGTGCAGCGGCACTCTCCTGTAGTCCAAGCAATTGGGAAGGCTGAAGCAGGAGCACTGCAAGTTTGAGGCCACCCTGGATAACTCAACAAGACCCATCTCAAAATAAAAATTTTCTAAAAAAGGTCTGGGAATGTAGCTCAGTGGTAAAGCACCCCTGAGTTCAATGCCCAGTAACCCGCCCCCCACACAACACAATATTTGCATATATGGAAATGTCAGAGTGAAAACCATAAATCTGTATATGTGCTAATAATTATAATAAAAAATAGTTATATGTAATTACTGACTTAACAACCCTCCCACAAAGACTGTTAAATAGTAAACCAAGAGCATAAAATCTAATTTAATGTACAAAAATTCACTTCCTCTGCAACACATGCAGGGAGACACCTATTTTATAGAGTGCATACACAAATAAAATCACTTTTATGTCCTGTACCAAACTTTCCCCTTACAAAGCAGGTAATAACAAAAACATTCACTATTTGGTGCTTTTAAGTTACTCTGTATTTCTGGTTGGAGAAAAGAAAAAAAACTAAAACATTGCTTCTAATTTTCCCTTCAAATAAAATAATACCAATTGCAATTTCTTTATCTTTTGTCTTGATATACCTACATCTCCCTCTTGTGGTTGAAGTCAACTGCATAAACAATTTCTTCTTCTCCATCTTTGACTATTTTCCATATTGTTCCACCTATCATGTGACCAGCTGGCAAAGGTGTGATAGACAAGCCATGTCCTTTACCTATGTCAACAAGATAATGACAACATTCAGATTGGTTTCACAACCCTAAAGAAAGGTTGTATTTTAGAAATAAAAATGCAAATAGTGAAAAATAAGTCTGGTGGGCTGGGATTGCAGCCCAGTGGTAAAGCACTTGCCTAGTATGTGTGAGGCACTGGGTTCAATTTTCAGCACCACATATAAATAAATAAAATAAAGGTCCATCAACAACTTAAAAACAAAAAAAAGTAAATCTGACTCTCCTATCCCCATTTCCTTAATGAAGACAAACACTTGTCACTTTATGATGTATTTTTTTGTAGTTGGACACAATACCTTTATTTTATGTGGTGCGGAGGACTGAACCCAGCTCCTTGCATGTGCTAGGCAAGCGCTCTACCACTGAGCCACAGCCACAGCCCCTTATTATGTATTTTTGTGGAGATATTTGTACTGATAAACTGAAGGTTAGAGATTATACTTTAAAGTCAGCGCACTATTAAACTATTTAATAGGAACAGATAAGATTCAATTAATTAATTTATTTTTTGTGGTGCTGGGGACTGAACTCAGGCTCTTACACATACTAGGCAAGTGCTTAACCACTACAGAACATTCATAGTCGTAAATTTTAATATTTATATCGTACAAACAATTATCAAGCATTTCCATTTTTGCTAACCTTCAAACAGAAAATAAAAATATAAATCTCATTAGGGAAAAGAATTTATCCTATGGAAAAACTAAATACAAGCAAAACTATTAATACTATTCTTAGTTTCTTGTTAAATCCCAACAGTTCATTAGTATACCATTTTTTCTAACGCTGGCATGATCTCTGGAGTTCATTTCAAAGAAAATCTCTAAAATATCTGTTTATATCATCAATATAGACTTAATATGACATCCTGACCTAATTAAAAAATTAGCTTTTTATATCCCAATTCTAGAATTCAGTCATTTCCTTTAATTTCTACATTTGCACATCTGAGCTACTCAATCAAACCATAAGCCCCAAGGAGGAGGATCTGGACACATTACTTTTGTTCATTTTACACTGTCAACACCAAAATAAGCCTTTCCCAAGCTAAATATAAAAAGGTCTGAGCTATTAAAATTGTTAGTTTTTAGTTTGGCATACTTTTAAAATCAGAAAGTTCAGAGATCCATGTCAAGGCAGAAAATGCTAATGATTTGTCTTCAGACCACAGCACCCATAAATTTTTTTTTAATGTTAATTTTTTTTAGTTTTAGATGGACACAATATCTTTATTTTTTACATTTATGTGGTGCTGAGGATTGAACCCAGTGCCTCATGCATGCTAGGCGAGCATTTCACCACTGAGCCACAACCCCAGCACCTACTCATAAATTTTATTATGAATTCTCAGTATTTTTCAGAGGATTAAACTGCATGAGTATGGGCTGAGGATATAGCTCAATGGGAGAGCACTTGCCTAACGCACGTAAGGCCCTGGGTTTGATCCCCAGCACCAAAAGACAAAATCCAAAACAAAACAAAACCTCTATTAGTACAACTATTTACTACAGATAATATTTTTTACCTTTCAAATTTACAATCTGAGAGAATTTCAGCTGCTGTATTTTATCAAAGGCCGCATCCACATCATCTAACGTAAAGAGTGTGAAATCTTCTGTATTGTGTCGAGACTAAAAGAATAACACAAACAAAAGGTTAAAAATGATCACTGATGAGAATATAAAATTTTTTTCTTAATTGTTCAAATTACCTGGTAAAGATCATACATGAACATCTGTCCCATTTTATAAACAGGAATGGTTGCATAAATGGCACAATTGAGCCCCAACTTTCCCACAGCATACGGGAGGGCACCCAGATGGAGAGGATCCGGGTGAGATAGCAGCACTGCATCGATCTGGTGAACATGCCTGGGAGAACACAACCAAGAGTGACCACTTTTTTATTCTTGTATTTAAAGGCAAAGGTAGAATAGTCAAAACTATTCACCCATTCTGGACTGAAGACAATACTGGGGAACAAAGAGCAAAATGAAGAGCTACAATTACGACACCTGTGAGTTTCAATCGTAACTAACCACGCTCTACACAGATAACAAAATCAAGTCATAAGCTGCATCTAAACATGATGTCTAAACACATTTACAAAAGAAAAAAAGGAGACACCACAAATAAGGTGATCTTAAAGGGCTATCTTCTATGTTACCATTTTAAATGCAATAACTCAGCTTGGAATTTCAAAAATTGTTAAGGAGAGGATATTTAAATGGTCGCAGATTTACGGATTTTGTCTCAGCTTTCTAGGATGGTGACCAACAGCACATTCATTAGAGTAAATACCAATTAATCAATGAAGCATACATTCTCACTGACAAAGGAAATTAACAAGTGATTTGGGGTTTTTTTCCCTTCACTTTAAGTTTTTAAAAATGTTTAAGTCTCCTTTCTTTCAACAATTAGCACAATTCTGCAAAAGTAGCCGAACTTATTTTATTTGTTTGTTTATTTTTGGTAGATTAGGATCCTTTTGTAACTCGCAGCTATTATTCTGAGAACTAAGGCACAATGTTAGGCATCACGAGATGCAGGAAGTGAGCTATCGCAATGCAACTGCAATGCAACTTCAGGACTTCCACGTGGAAGGTAGAATAGTCAAAATTTTTAACAAACTCTTCCTTTTTCCAGAAATTAAGGAACAAAATTTCTACTGCAATCTACTAGCCAAGTAACAACTAACTTAAAATTTTGCTGAATTTTAATAAACAAAGCTTATAAGTCAATTGAAGTTAAAACAGTAACTATTTAGGGCCAGGGCTGTGGCTCAGCGGTAGCACACTTGTCTGGCATGAGTGAGGCACTGGGTTCGATCCTCAGCATCACATAAAAATAAAGGTATTGTGTCCATCTACAACTAAAAAAAAGATTTCCAAATGGTCACTATTTAGCTTTTTTGGCTTAAATAAAATTCTTTTACTCTGAACTAAACTAGTGAAAAGACAGCAACCCTCTATAACATTAAAATGGTATTATAAAAGCATAGAAATAAGAAGCTGATTTTTTAAAGTTTATTTAATAAAAGTCTTGAAATATGAAATGTAACTTACTTCCTCAGGGAATCTATAATATCCATAGAAAAGTGCTCATCCCAGCCACAGTCCAATAGAAATCTAAACTCATCAACCTGGAGAAGATAGCAAAGAGCAGACTCCTCTTGGACCCCAGAGAGGGTAGTTAATTTGATAATAGATGTCATCTTTTTGTTTGAGTAACAGTAACCTAAAAAGGTCCCTTCAAAAGAAAAATATAATTAAACAAAAGCACATTCTAACATATAATAGACAAATTATTTCAAATTTGTAAGTGCACAGAAATTCCATAAAGATGGAAAGCAAATATTTTTTAAGACCCACTTCTGTTATTATCAAGCTTAACAATGCAAGCATAATCCTACACTCTTGTTTACAGTCTTTCAGTGTTTCCCCAACATGATGAAATGAAAAGGAGATTTTGGAATCAGACAGATCCAGATTTGAAGGTACTCCTATGTGATTTGGAGCAAGTTAATTAACCTTTCCTCAATTATACATTAATTATATAATATTTATATAAAAAGGATATTGGAGATTTCAAATAATAAGTAAATTACCTAGAACAGAGACTACCACATCTAAATTCCTTCTAAATGAAACCATTTACTGAAATAATGAACTCATTCCTCAAGGTCAATCTGTTCCCCCTTTACCTTGCTCTATGATGACATTGATTACATTGCACCACAGTGACTGGTTAACATGTCTTTCTCTCCTATTAGCCCAGAGGTCCTTAAATAAATAGACCCCTTCAAGAATCTGATAAAAAGCTATGGACCCGCCTTTTCCCTCCACAATCCTCAAAACACTAAGAAACCCCCAAAATACATATACATATAGAAATTCACATACTTTACAGAGTTAAATGTTCACAACCCTTGCTCAGGCACATAGTAACTAAAAAACAGAGGTTGTATCTTATATTTGCAATTCCTAAAACAAAACCTGACACACATTCCTGTTGGAATGCATGTTGAGATGCCTATTACATGCATTTCTAAAAGATATATCAGGGACACATCTATGGGGATTTAGGACCTAGAACTGTGTATTAGTGAACAAATGTCACAAAAGTATTTATTAACAAAGTTCAACTCCAGAGCAATATTTCAGAATTTAGCTCCTTAAGATAAAATCAGCCTTTCCTGGCTAACTAGGCAAGTAAGAGATCACTGAATTACTTATGATCTCTCACCACCTACCCAAGGTCATCAGCAAACTAAGGTTAATTGATGGTCTACCTTCCACAACCAGCTCACTGGAAATTAATCCCACCACATCTGCTATTCTTGTTTACCTGAGTTACAGCAAAAACTCAATGACCCCTAGGTTGTCCATTATCACTGATGCTTTTATCTCCTAGTTGGACCCAATCCCCTACTTCCTCTCAAGTCCTTTTGGTATACTCTCTGAAACTATACTTACACCCACCTGTAACTTCAACCTCCTTTTTGATTATCTTCACAGAAACCTGGCTATTCCCTAATGATGCAGTTTCTTCCACAACCTTCTCAAGGGCTTTATTTTTAGATCTCTCCATACTCCATCTCAAAAGCAAGAAGTGTGTTCCCTGCTCCTCAATGCAACTTCCAAATTATGTCTTCTCCTTCCCCTTTCAAATACTCCAGTCCTGAAGAAGCTCACACCAGCAGCTAGTTCACTATTAGCCTCCATAGCTCCTCCTCAGCATCGGTATCTACTAACCCGACCTGATTCACTGAGGACTTTAGCTCCTGGCTCAGTCTTTCTCCCAGTAACTTCAACACTGACCTCTCAGTTCCTTGACTTTCTTGATCCCCATAACCTCCATTTCACTTCAGCCACCCACCCTTGACCTTATTACCACCTGTGCCTACACCACTTTTGCCTTCAAGCATCTCACTACCGCTGCAAAAAAATCCTTTGAGCTCCACTCTAATTCACTGATCATTCTTCATGATCCACAATGCCCTTGTATCTCAACCCAGGTCCTCACCTTCGGTTCATGACCCATTGTGATTACTTTGCAAATGTTCTCAAATATCTTGCTCTTCTAGTGTTCTTCTTTGTACTCATCCCCAACCTTGATTAACTCCTACATTCACTTTGTCTACTCCAACAGCTGAATTTTGGGGGGAGGATCACACAAATGTGCTATTTGCTTTTTAAATTCACAGCCAAAGATCTCAAACAGATTTAAGTACTCCTGTCATTCCTACTCTTCTTCATAGGTTGACTTTCCATCTCAGATTATTTCATTCCTCTTTCTGCTCAACCATAAACCTGTTCTATTCCTCCCTACTCTCAGGTGATAATCTCACTTTCTCGAATCTACATCTATCAATCTGTCTGCACACACACTGTGGTCTCCTGCTATACAAAACAAATTGCCCTGTCTCCATCCAAGGCCATCCCTCTTGTACCTGATCTCATCTTCATTGGCCTTCTAACTCCTGCTTTTTTTAGTCATTTCCTCTTTCCCTACATGTATCACTGATGTGCTATTCCCATGAGCATACGAAGACACTCTAGAATTTCCCAATTTATAAGACTCCTCTTAACCCTACTACTACTACAGCATCTCATTTTTCAGAGCAAAATTTCTCAGAATATTCATATACAAACATGTCTCCACTTCACCTCCTATTCACACTACCAAATCTGAGAAGCCAGAGGTTTATGCACCAGCTCAGGTTGTGTGGAGGTTTATGGATGGCCTTCATCCTCTGATACAGTTTGGTACTAACCACTACATTTCTCAAATTTCCTTTTACCCATTGTGACCAAGATTTCTAAATAGACTGTACATTTTCCTTGCCCCCAATTTATCCTGCAACATTCTTCGAACAACTTGAGGTCCTTCTCTACTCCTGTTACATTCTACAACATCATTCTCTCTCAAATTACTTAGTGCTGTCTATAATTGCTCTTTATTTACTTGCTTTTTGTCTGTCCTTTTCTCTCCTCCTGATCCCAATACTAGAATGTGAACTCCTTGAGGTTACAGAACTTATTAATCAATATTCCAGTGTCTCCATGTCATATTTAGTGGTGGTCAATGTTTCTTATATGAATGAATGGGCATGGCTAAGATTAAATGAGCTTAGTGCTCTTACCACACCATTAAGAGTTACCTATTTACATGTTTATCCTTACTTGAGAGAGCTGAGTGTAGGACTATACTTGATCTATTCAGTACATTAGCACATGCCCTGCACATAGTAGTTGTTTAATAAATTACTGATAAAATTTGAAATAAATTGACCTAGTGTAGGAAAAAGTAGTTAAGACATGAGAAGTATAAAGACATCAATTCTCTATTTGGTGAAAAATGTTTTATAATTTTGGAAAGGACTTAGAAAATTCTCCCTGGCAAAAAGTTTCTTATACCACAATAATATTAATGGTCTAAGAGAAACTTTCTTCTCAAATCTACCTTCACTCCCACTTTCATTTAGATTATGAAGTCAAAATACAAAGTTATCTCGCAGATACAAATTAATGAGTTCTTGCTAAAATTTTGCAGAGATCCTGATTTCAACAGATGAAAAGACTTTTGTTATAAATACTCATAATAAAGTATATCCTTTAGTGTGTGTGGTGCTAAGGATTGAACCCAGGGCCTCATGCGCGCTAGGTAAGTACTCTACTACTGAGCTATATTCCCAGGCCTTTTTTATTTGAGACATGGTCTAACTGAATTGCCCATGCTGGCACTGAACTTGCCTTTCTCTTGCCTCAGCCTCCTGAATGGCTAGGATTACAGGTACATACAAGCACACCTGGATATTAAGCTGTATCTTTATCAGACATAAAGTACTTACTGATTTTTCAGTTGTATATATGATGAAACACCATGAATTCAGAGGAAGAGTTCCTTATAAATCTACAAAATAAATAAAGAATCTCATAAATGTGGTATGATTTACTTATGTTTATAATTATAGCACTTTAACTTGTATATCTTCCCCTAATATACATAAGCAGAGGCAAGTTATATAATATATATGTTTCATTTTTTAAAAAGAAACATAATCTTAGGAATTTGTATAAATTTCTAAACTTATACATAAATGAATAGGGATAATAAAGCAATAAAAATAAGTAATAATGAGACATGTTGGTAATAATCAGGGGCTTAAGTATAAAGCTTAAGAAATAAAATTTTAAAATTTCTAAATAGCTTCTATAATTGAGAGTCACAGAAGAGGTGGGATCTATGATTATTCATTAAGGAGCTGTGGAAACGAGGTAGAAAGAAGGTATTCAAAACAGGGATAATGAGCAAAGGTTCAAAACAAAAACAATATCAGTGAAAAACCTAACCTGGCATACTTTCATATAATCAAAAAATAAAAGGAAAAAAAATAAGTTCTAATAAACAGAGAGAAGCCAGATAATGAAGGGCCCTGGAAACCCTGGAGCTAGTGCTCAGGAAAAAGAGAAACATTTTAAGATTCATTAACAAGTTGAAAAATGTTAATTCTGTAGTTTAGGAAAATTAGTTGGTAGGTATGATTGAACAGGTAACAGCAGGGAGATGAAGAGAGAGAATTTAGCAGACTACTTCCTCCTCTCTGCTGGTTCTGTTTTGGGACGAAATTTCTTCAGCCCCAAATAAATTTTGTAATTGAAATATTAATACTAGGTAACCAAGGTTTGAAAATGGTTCTTCCTTTTACTTTCCCTTGGACTGCTACCAATTCCAAATTACTTCTCCCCCAGAATGCCTTGCACACATATCATTCCCTTTCTGTTCCTTACTGCCAGTACTTAAATGTGAGCCTTATTACCTTATATGAGTTTCTCCATTTCTCTGCCTCCAGCTTTTCTTTCCTTCCTCTCAATTTAAACAATGCTGCCAGATTAGCCTCAGAAACATCCCTATACACATTACCCCTTGCTCAGAAATGTTTGTTGGTTTCTTACTGTCTGAGGAAAAAAAGCAAAATAACCTGAATGCTTTAACTGGCAATGTAGGGTCCTAGGAAGCTGCCTGCTCACCACATCTCTCAAGGTCCAGCTCAAATGCCACCTTCTGATCAATTGCCCCCTCATAAATTTAGACCAGACTAGTTGTCAACAGAAATATAACACATGCCACAGATGTCCCTTTAATTTTTTTCAGTCACACTAAAAAGTATAAACAGGTAAAATATTTTATTTAACCCAGTAAGTCCAAAATACTATCATTTCAATATGTAATCATTTTTTTAAAATTAAGATTCTTTACATTGCTTTTTTGTACTAAGTCTTCAAAACCCAGGCGTACTTTTTATTTTCAGCACACCTTAATTCAAACTAACCACTGGCCAGTGCTCAATACCTCAAGTGACCGGTTGCTACTGTAAAAGTGCAGGTCTAGACTCTAAAATCAACACCTTCAACTGTGGAGCACTGTGTTTTGCCACTCCTGCAGACCAGGCTGACACCACCCTGTTTTTATGTACATGTCTCACACTGGACTTTAATATTACTGCTGACCATATAGTCTCCCAGACTGAAAACTAGGGTCTTATCAGCTAATTAGTGGCCAGGAGTTAAATCCTAATTGGCATTTACTTAGTCTGACATCCTTTACTATCCTGACTCAGTAGAGACACTCAGTGTCTTATCTGAATGACTGAAATTTCCTCTCATCTAGTTTTCCTGTTCCAAGTGGATCTTCCACACAGTTTTCAATGAGCCCATTTTAAGAAACAAATATCCCCCTGCCCACCTCTTGCTCTAAGGATCTACTGGCTTCCTGCTAACTACTGGATAAAACCTGAACCCCTTGGCTAGAAATCAGGATCATTCACAAGCTGCTTTCAACCTACGTCTTGCTTCATCAACCCCACCCTGCACTGCCTGCTCAAGCACCATTTATTTTCCCACTCTCCCTAACTATGCTCAGACTTAAGTTTTCAGTTCTGTTTTAGATTCAGGAGTGATTGTGTCCTCCCGAGTTTAGCAAATTCCTTTTGATTCTTCATGGCCCAGCTCAAACATTTACTTTTATAAACCTTCTTCATGGTCCCCAGATAAAGTTGGTTATTTTTTACTAAGCAGAAAGAAGGCACGAAGAATATTTGTTAGCTGTCAAATGTACAGAAGAAGGGTAAAGTGGTATCTTTTTATCTCCACTACCAAGCACAGTGTGCTCACAGCACAGTCCGCTGACCCGAGTGAATCATTACCTTATCATAAATTCCTCCAGGGCACTGATTTTGACCAACACTACCTCAACTCAAATATAAATATATATATATCAGTTACTCCCTCTCTCCATAATGATCATGCAAATTGATGACAACCGAGAAGTAGGCAAAATCCAAGGAAAAAGGAAGGGGTCTGGGTTAGCCTCGGAACTCACTGCGTGAGGCTGGGGTGGCATCTCTTCCTAGTCATTCAAGGAAAGCAGCCCTTCATGATAGGGTCAAGGGAGTTGGTTGTAAAATAAAAAATTCGGGGATGCGCAATAAATGATGGCTCAGGTCCGCCTGATCACAGGAGGCCAGATTTGCCAGGGACTAAGCTAGCCTGAACTGTTTTCTGAACAGCACGTTAAAGAGTACAAAGGTAAGAAAGAATGAGGTCTTGGCAAAGTGCAGGTAGTGGAAGCGCTCGAGGACCGAGACAATTCTAATTAAGCACGGTACAAACATCTGAAAGGTCTTTGGAAAGGTCTTAGTAGCCTCGAGGTCTCTGAGCCCGAGAAGACGGCAAGACCCCCGGTGGGGAGGCCGAGGGCGCGGCGGCCACGAGGAGAAGGAGCCAAAGCCGGCGTGGGATTAACTCGTCCAGCGCCAGGAGACCGAGCGCGCAGCGGGGACCGCGGAAAAGAGGGAGTGAACCGCACGCACGGCCGCAAACGACCGCGGAGTCTTCGACCCACGGAAAAGTCACTTGTCTGTCCCTCCACTTCTGCTGGGGGCCACCAGGGCAGTGGCAGCCGGCACCGCGGAGCACGTCCTCGGGAGAGACCGGGTGGGAGTCGGAGCCGGGCTCTGCCTAAGGCCGAGGACGCCCCCTCCCCCCATGCAATGGCTCACTCCGTCCTCCCGCTCCCACTTGCCTCGCGGGCCTCCCCCAACGCCGTCCACTGCCCTTCCCAACCCCTGCTCGAAGCCAGGTTCTGGAAGGAGGAAAGCTGATGCTGGGTCAGCAGTAGCCGTGACGACCGGCCGGCAGGAGACCCTCCGTGGCGGCCGCCATCTTGCCCCCGCGGCTAGGGGCCCTGGCGGGGAAGAGCCGGGACGATACCATCTGCGGGGTGGGGGTGGGGGGACCAAGGCGTGGGACGGCGACGGCGACAATGCCCACGCGTCTCCTCGCCTTGGGCAGAACTTTGATTAAGAAAGTATTGGTAATGTTTAAAAGCTTAAAGGAGGAGAAAAGTGAAACATTAGCAGAAAGAAAAGGCAGGCTTTGCCGCCGCCACCCCCTCTCCTCCGTGCGGGCACGGCAAGTGGCAGGTCCCGAGGTCGCCGCTTCCGTCCGCGCCGGTGGCGGTGCTCGCTGCTTCTGTCCTTGATCTTTGGTGTCGTTTATTGGCTCCAGGGCCGCAGGTGGGTCTGGGGACCCCGGGCGGCCGCGGCGCCGCGGGTCGGGTTGTGCAGGCTGGGCGGGTTCTGGGAAAGCCCTCGCCGGTGTGTGCATGTGGAGGGGTGGCCAGGGCCTCCGGGCTGCCGAGCCAAGGAGAGGGAGAGGAAAGGGGAACAAATAGGGCTGTCTTTGGGTGGACGACTGGGTTCACGTTTCCCACCAGCCAGTTTTTTCTTGAGGCTGTCATAGCTGGGAAACGTCTTTAGAGATGACCGATGGCCGCCCCCAGGCTGGACTGCAGAGGAGACCAGCCTGGATCCCATGCCCAGCCAGAAGCAAGGAAGGGCTGCTGGTCCTGGAGCACCTCACGTTTGTCCAAGTCGCAGCGATCCACTTCCTCCCTAATCTCATTCCCTTCTAAACATCAAACCTTCTTGAGCTGACCATTCCACAAAATTTGCACTTACCTGTTTACTTTTTAAATGCGTGATGAATTGTGCTTGGTTTCCCGGGTATGTATATCATACACAAATGGTCGACCTCCAGGAGTTCTGTAACTCCTTGCATCTACTCCGTTTTGCATAGGTTAATCAATACTTGTATAAAGTGCTGTGGGAACCAATAAAATAATAGAATGCTAATCTTTTAAGTGTCTAATTACCCACGTTTCCAACGTGAATTTGGAACGACTCTAAAAAAGATACACACCAGTTTTCTTTTTAGAAGTTGGGGAGAAAACTGGGTTGAAGAAAAATTAATATTAGGAAAGATAAATTGAGGTTAACATATGTTTACCTCTCAGATTGCCTGGGTTCTGTACTAATCCCACCTCTACCCCTATTTGCACATATGACCTTAGGCAAGTTGCTTCACCAAGATTGGCCCTAGATTTCCTTATCTGAAAAATATGTGCCAACTACATTGGAAACGTTATATTATTGAATACCTGTGCAGTACTATTGTGAAGATTATGTGAGTTTGGTGGTTACAAAAAGGAGTAAAAGTTATACCTGTCAGTGCTCTAAGATTCAGCTCTTGCTAGGGTGGTCCAAAAAATTTGGATCATCTTCTTGGGCAAAGATACATGACAGGGGCTGGAAGCCTAGCCCAGAGGTAGAGCCCATGCTTACACAAGGTCTGGTTCATTCCCTAGGAATCCCTCAACCTCTCCCAATAAAGAAAGAAAAAGATACATGACTATTTAAATCCACAAGGTAAAACCCAATTCATTTTTCAAGAATACCATAGCTACTCTTGGTTTTGAAGTAAAAGCAAAACTTTTTTATGGGTCCTCATATAAGAGAACACTGGTGGGCTGGGGGATATAGCTCAGTTGGTAGAGTGCTTGCCTTATATGCACAAGGCCCTTGGTTCAATCCCCAGCATTACACAAAAAAAGAGACACTGGTAATACATATAGTACTCCTATGGGCACCACGGGGATGTGTCCCTAAAGCAGTTGGTCCATTTTCTTCCTGAAAAACCTAGGCTTGTCTCAGTGAATCATGTCCTAGTCCTTACTGCACTTTGCCTGTCAAACAAAGCTCTCAAAGAACCCAGTTACCCATCTACTCTCTCCCTCCTACCCATCTCAGGGGAAATCATTCTAGCTTACTTTTTTTCTTGTGCTGAGGACGTAACCTAGGGCCTCTTGTATGTTAGGCTAGTGCTCCACCACCGAACTACTTCCCCAATCCTTTAGCTCCCTTCTTGTATCCATAAATCTTTATCCTTCCTAGTCATCCATTTGCTGGAAAACATGCAGGACAAATGATGTACAGTGAACTACTCCCAATGTCCATTGAATATAGGTTGTACAATTGTAACATGAAGTGCCTTAGCACTAAAGATTTGTCATTTACCTCTTAAGGATGTTCCTTTGTGGTTGTTGAATTCAACTCTGGAAATCCATCAATCCCACTGTCTTGGTTCTGGAGTCTGGAGAGCTGTATCCAGCTAAGAGCCACAGAGACCTGTCTCATCTCATGCTCAGGGTAGAGGCAGACCAAACCAAACCTTAGCTTCTGGCCCTTGTTAAGAGAATGCTAGCAATAATGCTTATACCCTGCAGGTGGCCATGAGCTTATATGACTGGAGCTAAAAATCAGCAAGTACTTGTTGGTTAAATACAAAATGATAACTAATAGCTGTGATAGGGTAGATTTGACACCTCTTTAAGAAAATTTAAGGAGTCTAATAAGGACGGGTAGAAGAATAGGTGACCACTGAATTTGCTGAACATGCATGAACACAGAGACAAATTGTCTAGTGTTTTGCAGTTTAGTACTTTTAAAGTTACAGATAGGGCTGGGGTTGTAGCTCAGTGGTAGAGCACTAGACTAGCATGTGTGACGCACTGGGTTCAATCCTTAGCACCACATAAAAATAAAGGTATTATGTTCATCTACAACTAAAACAAAATTTTTTTAAATAAAGTTACAACTGGGCATGGCACATGCCTGTAATCCCAGTGCCTCAGGAGGCTGAGACAAGAGGATCACAAGTTCAAAGCCAGCCTCAAGAAAAGCGAGGCACTAAGCAACTCAGACCCTGGCTCTAAATAGAATACAGAAAAGGGCTGGGGATATGGCTCAGTGGTCAACTGATTGCCTCTGAGTTCAATCCCCGGTACCAAAAAAGGAGAAAAAAAAAATTATCTTATTTAAGGTCCTCATTATTATTTCCATACTTTACTGGCTCAAGTTTATAAAGCAAGTAAACAGTTAACTTGGCGCTTGATTGGTATCACAAAAAATACTTTAAGATCTAAATGTAAGAAATGTTATTTAATAAAAACATGGTGCTAAGAAATAAATAAAATTGCTTGCCCCTACCTTCCTCCAAGAAGTTATTTGCATCAAAATCAACTAAGGACTTCTTTCAACTACTTATCTCTCCAGCCTTGCCCTGGAGGTGAAGCCAGGGAGTCCCTGTTCTGAAAATGGCTCCCCAGATGATTCTGATGTGCACTCAAGGTTGAGAACTCCAGCTGTAGACAGTAGACTAAACCTTAATTGATAACTGAATTGTAATCATGAATGTAAATATCTCATTGTGTACTTGCATCGTTTTCTTTTTTTAATAATGTTTTTTAGTTCTAGATGAACATAATACCTTTATTTGATTTTTATGTGGTGCTGAGTGTTGAACCCAGTGCCTCAGGTACTAGGCAAGTGCTCTACCACTGAGCTACAACTTCAGCCCTCCATCAAAATTTTCTACCTCAGTAGTCTTTAGACTGGAACCTGCTATGGGTAGCATTACTTGTTACTTATGAAGTACAGTATATATAGTAACTGTGCAGATTTTAAACTTCATTGCCATGACCACATCCAGTGACTTTGGATAATGGGTGTCTAAAACGTGAGAAATAGGGTTGGGGATATAGCTCAGTTGGTAGAGGGCCTGTTTGCACTAAGGCTCTGGGTTCAACCCCCAGTACCACCAAAAAAGAAAAAAAGTAAAGTGTGAGAAATGAAGAAGTAGAATTATGTAAATATGCAGATCAATGTCAGAAGGAGAGGTAGGAATTGAGTCTGCATTAAGCCTAGCACATATTGAACTAATTACTATTATTTACAGTAATGTACTGCCCTCTCTACTAGGGTGTTGTCACGTCTTTGCTATTGTGTGATTTATTCATGTGCATGTGGATGTACTTTTATTTCATCTGTTTGCACAAATTTTTAAAGAAAATTGGCAATTCAGTTATGTTTTCATTAATGCATGTGTTATTTTTTCACCTGGTGACTATGGTTCTATTCCTCCTCCTCTTTCAAAAGCACTTAGATCTTAAGAGCTCTTAAGTATCATAAATACCAGTTCAGGGTGCCAGGCATGGTGGTGCCTGCCTGTAATCCCTACCGTTCAAGAGGCTGAGGCAGGAGGATCCGGAGTTCAAAGCCACCCCAGCAATTTATGGAGACCTTAAGCAGCTCCTGAGAGACCCTGTCTCTAATAAAATATAAAAAAGGGCTGGGGATGTGGCTCGGTGGTGAAGCACACCTGCGCTCAATCCCTGGTACTAAAATAAATAAATAAATGAATTCAGGGAGGGGATGTTAGAGGAGGCAGAGCTTTGGAATAAACCTGAATTTGAATTCCAGCCCTGGGCTTAATAGTTATTTTATTTGAGCTATTTTCTTATCTGTAAAATGAGAAAAATAATAGTTATTTCACCTTAAACATAGAAAATAAATAGTAGCTCTACTACCTAGTAGTCATCCCATAAATGTGTGTTCCTGTCTCCTTTTACATTCTTTTTAATAGTTGATAGATCTTATTTATTTATTTATGGTGCTGAGAATCGAACCCCGTGCCTCACAAATGCCAGGCAAGTGCTCTACTGCTGAGCCACAACCCCAGGCCCTCCTTTTACATTTTGTAGTCTTTTAATTGAGCTTTCAAATTTGTGACATTGTAATTTTTTAAAAAATTTCTCATAGGATTAATTTTCAGTAATTATAACAATATAAACTATTCCACTTCTGGCAAGATAGCATTATTAAAATTGTGTTTGCATTATAAGAAATTCTAAAGCAATTTTACATGTATAAAACTTCTGAATTAGGGCCTGGAGTTGTGGCTCAGCGGTAGAGCACTTGCCTAGCATGTGCTAGGCCCTGGGTTCTATCATCAGCACCACATAAAAATAAATAAAATAAAGATATTGTGTCCAACTACAAAAAATAAATATAAAAAAACTTCTGAATTAATATTAGGAGGATGCAAATAATCAGCTTCTATGGGTAGAATTTTTTCTCTCCATTTGTTATAACAATTCACTGATGAAGAGAGAAATAAAATTTAATAAATAGACTTCAGTGTAGTGTAATTTTTATACTGATCATTTTTTCCAATCTTCATCAAGTTGATTTTAATTACTATATTCTGATGACAAGTAAATATACAAAGGCTTTTAAATTAAAAATAGTTTTAAAACTATTATTTAAAACTATTTTTTACATTTTCATACCTGTTATACTTTCAATACCTATCTCTTAACATCCACAGCTGTCTTCCTCTTTCATATGCAATTTAAAAGACATTTCAAAGGCAATTTTATGCCTCTATTAATATATTTTTCTTTTTAGCAGTCATGGTGAACTTACTTCAGATTGTGCGGGACCACTGGGTTCATGTACTCGTCCCTATGGGATTTGTTGTTGGATGTTATCTAGACAGAAAGAATGATGAAAAACTGTCTACTTTCCGCAACAAGAGTATGTTGTATAGAAGGTCAGTTCGCACATTGTTTTAAACCAGCTGTTGACCCACTTTGGGGAATATTCTTAATATGAAATGTGTCAAAGATAAACAAAAGGGGTCATTTTTCTTCCCTGGGTAATTATATGCAGGAGATACTGTGTTCTAGTCTTGCTTGTTATTTAATTCTTGGATAAAATTGTGTGATTAACTCTAGTTTATGAACAGCCTATTTCAAATCTTTGTCACATTTTTAAAATTCAACTGCAATCATTCAACCACCATGTCTGAAGTTCTCAGGTAGTGTTGCTGAAAATAACACTACCCCTCTCTTACCATATGTGTGTGTGTGTGTGTGTGTGTGTGTGTGTATTGAGCTAAGGGGCACTTGACCACTGAGCCACATCCCCAGCCCTATTTTGTATTTTATTTAGAGACAGGGTCTTATTGAATTGCTTAGCGCCTTGCTTTTGCTGAGGCTGGCCTTTTAGTATAGAAACACAGGTGGGTTTGGTTTGGTTTGGTTTTTTGAAGAGCTGGGGGTTAAACCCAGGGCTTTGTGCACGTAGGCAAGCACCGCTACCACTGAGATACATCCCCAGTGCAGAAACAAAATTTTAAACTAACTGATCGGAGCCTACCTGTATGCAGCTTTCACATATATTATTGTATACTATGTTACTTAAGACATGCTATAGCCGAAATAAATATAGTAAGAGTAGATCGAAGAGTGTTGGCACACGCCTGTAATCCCAGTGGCTTGGGAGGCTGAGACAGGAGGATTACAAGTTCAAAGCCAGCCTCATCAAAAGCAAGGCGCTAAGCAATTCAATGAGACCCTGTCTCTAAATAAAATACAAAATAGGGTGGGGATGTGGCTCAGTGGTCAAGTGACCCTTTTCAATCCTCAGTACAAAAAAAAAAAAAAAATATATATATATATATATATATATACACACACACACACACACACACGGTAAGAGTGGGGTAGTGCTATTTTCAGCAACACTACCTGAGAACTTCAGATATGGTGGTTGAATGATTACAGTTGGCAGCTGCCTGATTCCCTTTGTTTAGAAATGGCTCCTCTGGCAGTGGAGGGGTATGGTTAGCAAAACTGTCTATTTTCCAGTGAGTATACATCTGTCTGAATTAGAAGGAGCTTAATGGGCAAGAGGATTGAGTTGCATCCACAGTCATTATGGAAAGGTGGGTCACAAGTCAGGGATTTTAAAAAAGATAAAAATAATCCAGAAAGCATTGAGTAAACATGAAATGAACTGATTAGGAAGACAAAAGCTGTGATACAAATTACAGCTTTAAAGAAATTATAATTTTTTACTCCAGAAAAATGCTACAAATTTAAAATCATGAAAGAATAGAATGAATATGATGAATCTAATGTAAAATTTTTAAAATGGTTCAGTTTAGTAAAATGTAAAATATTCTGATCTGCTCATGAAAATTTTGTTTACAGTATTTCCTTTCCTTCCTTATTTCTTCCAATACAGGGAATTGAGGCCCAATGAAGAAGTTACCTGGAAGTAAAGACTGTGGCTGAATCACAGAATATTCACATTTTAAAAGTTATTGTACAAATAAAATCATGTTTATTATTTAATTAGAAGAATTCAAAGTGTAATTCTTTTGATAACTTTTTTTTGCGGGGGTAAGAGAAGTACCAGGAATTGAACCCAGAGATGCTTTACCACTGAGCCACATCCCCATCCCTTTTTATTTTTTGAGACAGGTTCTTACTGAGTTACTCAGGGCCTCACTAAGTTGCTGAGGCTGGGTTTGAACTTGGGGTCCTCCTGCCTCAGCCTCCTGAACCACTGAGATTATAGGCATTTGCCTCCATGCCCAGCTTCTTTTTATACCTTTTATTGAGGTAATCTTTATTTTTTTATTGAGGTAATCTTCAAGTGTCCTGCACACTCAGCTTGAAAAATGTTTATTGACTACCTGATTATATATGTAGGTATTAAATTTGTATTTAGCGTTTAATTTTGTTTCTTATTTTGGACCATAGTATCATTAAATCATATCCTTTTTTGGGCAGGGGGGGTGGATACCAGGGATTGAACTCAGAGGCACTCAGCCACTGAGCCACATCCCCAGCCCTATTTTGTATTTTATTTAGAGACAGGGTCTCACTGAGTTGCTTAGCTCCTTGCCATTGCTGAGGCTGGCTTTGAACTCCTGATCCTCCTGTCTCAGCCTCCTGAGCCACTGGGATTACAGACATGCACCACCGTGCCTGGCTCCAATTCTTTTTCAGAAAAGTTTTTTTTTCAAGAAATGTATGTATGGATATATATAGATAGATAGATATAGATATATAGATATAGATATAAATGTATGTTTGGATATATTCCAGAGTATCCCCCAAGAATTTATGTGTTAAAACTTAGTCCCCATTGTGAAATATTAAGAGGTGGAGATAGTCTGACTGGATTGTAGTGTATGGAGGTAGGGCCTGGGTGGTGGTTAGGGTTAGTGTCCTCAGGTGGAGCTCATGATGGAATTGCTTGTGACTATATGAAGGAGAGAGCCCAACAACTGCACAGAGAGAGAGAGAGAGCATGCTCCCTAATTCCCACTTTGTGGTTCCCTGGCCCACCTCGGCACTATCAAACAAGAAGGCCATACAAGGTCAAGATATAACCCTTGATGACCTCAGACCCCTAGAGCCATGAGCCAAAATAGACCCTCTCTTTCTAAAGTTGCCCAACCTCAGGTTTTTTTGTTACAGTAATGCAAAGTAGGCACACAGTGTGCATCAAAGGCACTTTAAAAGGAGGATGCTAGGATTTTATTTAACAAAAATCACACAGATGAAAATTTTAATGACCTTGGGGTTAACAAAGATTTCTTAATATACAGAGCATGAACTATTTTCTAAAATCACCAAACTACCTTTAATAAAATTTAGCTCTTCGGGGGGCTAGGGATATAGCTCAGTTGGTAGAGTGCTTGCCTCACATGCACAGTGCCATGGGTTTAATCCCTAGCACCACACACACAGAAAAGCTCCTCAAACAATACTATTAGGGCTGAAAATATAGCCCAGAAGTAAATCCTATTCCAGACATTTCATATAAATGAATCATAATATGTGGCCTTTTGTGTCTGGTTTCATTGAGCATGTTTGTTCTTATTTATTTATTTATTTTATTTTTTGTACTGGGGATTGAACCCAGGGTCACTCTACTACTGAGTTAAATCCCCCAGCTCTTCTTTGATACAGTCTCACAAAGTTACCCAGACTGGCTTCAAACCTGCAATCCTCCAGCCTCAGCCTCTGGAATTGCTGGGATACAGGTGTGTGCCACCACACCCAGGTGTTTGAAGGTTCACCATGTAGCATGTGTCAGTGCTTCATTCCTTTTTTGTGGCCAAATATTTTTTTTATGGATGGATCACATTGTGTTTGTCCATTAACTAAATGATGGGACACTGGGGCTGTATGTATCTCCTGTCAACCATTTGCATACCTGAATGAATAAATGAATGAATGACCACTGTTAAGGAAATGAAACTGCAGTCATAGACTGGGAGAAAATATTCACAAAATATATACAAGGAACTTATTTGGGATGTGTAAAGAATCTTATGACAAAATGAGCTAATGATTTTAAGACTGTATACACACAAAAAAAATGATCTGAGAATGGTAAACTCATTCAAAGATGCTCATCATCAGTGTTCTCTACGAAAATGCAAATTAACAGCACGATGATATTCCACTACACACCTATCAAATGGTTAAAATTAGCTGGGCGCAGTGTCAGTAGGATCACGAGTTCAAAGCCAGTTTCAGCAACAGCAAGGCACTAATCAACTCAGTGAGACCCTGTCTCTAAAATAAAATACAAATGGGCTGGAGATGTGGCTCAGTAGTTGAGTGCCCCTGAGTTCAATCCCCAGTACCAAATAATAATTAAAATTAGAAGGACTGACCTTACCAATTGTTGGCAAGGATGTAGCCAGGGCAAGTCACATACTGCTAGCAGAAATGTAAAATGTAGTGGAGTACTATTCACAAATAGGAATAATCTAATGATACATACAACATGGATAAGTTTCAAATTATTTGTGGTGAATGAAAGAAGCTAGACAAAAAAAGAACATAGCATTATATGATTTCTATTTATATAAAATGTTATAAATTGCAATGTATTGTAACAAAGCAGATCAGTGGTTGCCTGGGAGATTGAGGTTCAGAAAGTGTTAGAAGAATTAAAGAGGTGCACAAGGAAACTTTTGGATATGTTATATTGAAGTTTCACAGGTATATACATAGGTATCTGTAATATTTAGTGTGTATGTCAAGTTGATTATTCCATATACATACCCCCACTTAATATTCTTCAACAAACATTAAAACACATAAGCACAGAGAGCTGCCTTTTTTATTTTTATTTATTTATTTTTTAGAACTCAATGTGAAACCTAACATATCAACTTTTTTTTTTTTTGGTACCGGGGAATGAACTCAGGCGCACTCAGCCACTGAGCCACATCCCTAGCACTTTATTTTTATTTTTATTTAGAGACAGGGTCTCACTAAGTTGCTTGGCGCCTTGCCATTGTTGAGGCTGGCTTTGAACTCCTGATCCTCCTGCTCAGGCTTCTGAGCCACTGGGATTATAGGCATACAGCACCATGTCCAGCTCAACTAATTTTTAATCTATTTTTGGTGCTGGAGATCAGACCCAGGGTCTTACTCTGCTAAGTAAGTGATCTACCACTGAGTTACACCCCAGCCCTAAAATTTTAAATGTGCAATATAGTACCATTAACTATAAGCACAAGGTTGTAAAGCAGATGTCTAGAATTTATCTTGTATAACTGAAACTTTACACCATTGATCAGCAACTTCCCACTTTCCCTTCTTCCATTCCCAGTGCCTGGTAACCACCATTCCACCTGATTCTATGAGTCTAACTATTTTAGATACTTCATACAAGTGGAATCGTGCAGTATCTGTCCTTCTGTGACTGGCTTATTTTACTTACAATAATGTCTTCAAGTTCACTTATATTGTTGTGTATAACAGGTTTGCCTTCTCTTTACCAGCTGAATTATATTCCATTGTATGTGTAGCCACATTGTCCTTACCTTACATTCATCCATCAGTGAATATGTAGGTTGTTTCCACATTTTGGCTAAAGTGAATATAAGTAACAATGAACATATGAACATGGGCTTTCTATAGCTCTTCAAGATCCTGATTTCTGGGGCTGGGGCTGGGGCTCAATGGTAGAGTTAGAGCGCTTGCCTTGAATGTGTGAGGTACTGGGTTTGATCCTCAGCACCACATAAAAATAAATAAACAAGATAAAGGTATTGTGTTCATCTACAAATATATAATATTAAAAGATCCTGGGCTGGGGATGTGGCTCAAGCGGTAGCGCGCTCGCCTGGCATGTGTGCGGCCCGGGTTCCATCCTCAGCACCACATACAAATAAAGATGTTGTGTCTGCCGAAAACTAAGCAATAAATATTTTAAAAAATCCTCTCCCTCTCCCTCCCTCTCTCCCTCCCTCCCCCTTTCTCTCTCTCTCTCAAAAAGAAAAAAAAAAAAAGATCCTGATTTTAGTTCTTTTGGGTAAATATTCATAAGTGGGATTTTTGAAGTTGTAGATGGACAGAATGCCTTTATTTTATTTGCTTAATCATGTGGTAGTTTTAAGTTCTTGAGTATTTAAAAAAATAATAATGATTCTAACAGGTGTGAGGTGATATTAGATTGTGGTTCACTTTGTATACTTTAAATATGTACCAAGAGCGTATAACCGTTATATGTCAATAAAACTGTAAAGACCCCATCCTCCAAAAAAACTCACATAACCTTGAACTGGGGGCCTAGCTCCATGGTAGAATACTTGCCTAGCACATGCAATGTCCTGAATTTGATCCCCAGCACCAGAGAACAAAATATTGTTCTACACAAATAACCAGTTATGGTACTGATTACTGGGATGATTTGAAAACAGAACATGAGAGAAATAAAATATCTCTTGAAAATGTTCCTCTGCCTTCAGTATATGAAAGTGAATTAATTAATAACCCTTTAAAAATAAGCAATCAAGTATGTATTAGGAACCAGGCATGGTGGCACATACCTGTAATCCCAGCCACTCAGAAGGCTGAGGCAGGAGGATTGCAAGTTCAAAGCCAGCCTCAACAACTTAGAGAGGCCCTAAGCAACTGAGTGAGACCCTGTTGCTAAATAAAATACAAAAAAGGGCTGGGGATTTGTCTTAGTGGTTAAGCACCCTGAGTTCAATCCTTGGTACAAAAAAAAAATGTTTTCAGGACATAATATCTTTAGAAAGGGAAAAATAATAAATAGCACAGTGTGGAACATTAGGTTGTATTTCTTTGGTTTTTGTTTGATTTGTTTCTAGCATATATATCATATTGCTAGCACTGATAGCACTAAATCTTTGATTTTTGAAAGATGTATGGTGTTAACACAATGCTGTTGTGTATGTTTCTTGTGAAACATAAATTGTTAATGTTAAGATTTGTATAATTAAATTTGCATAAATTACATTCTCTCTTGATATTTTTTAAAATATATATTGTCAAATCCAACTACCTCTTCTTGG